TGTTTCCTCTCCACCTATCCTCTCCTCTATCCCTCTTCTATCCACCTCCCACTCTCTCCCTATTTATTTCAGAACCCCCTTCCCCTCCCCCTTTTCTGATGAAGGGTCTAGGCCCGAAACGTCAGCCTCTCTGCTCCTATGATGCTGCTTGGCCTGCTGCGTTCATCCAGCCCTGCACCTTCTCATCATCACCTTCTATTGGTCACTAGGAATAAGCGATAAATGCTGGACAGCCCAGCTAGCAAGACTCACATCCCATGAATAAATTTAAAAAAAACTAACTCTTCAGATGCTGGTAACATTCTGGTGAACATCTGCTGCACATCTTCCATAATCAATACATATTTTGAGATGTAGTGCCCAGAACTGTACACAATACTGTAGATATGGTCTGACCAGGGCTTTGCATAATTCCGGCAAGATTGGTCACCTTTACAACTTAGAATATTAGCTGTTATAACGAGAGGACTACCAGCCTTTTATCCCCGATTACTGCAGTTTTAATGATGTATGTACATGCGTCCTCAAATTCAATCGGTAATTAAAAAGGTAAAGTTGTCATAGTCCCACCAGATCATTGGCTGCTCTCTCAGTAGAGAGAGACAGCGAGTGGTGGTTTAACCTGAGGATCATTATGCCTCAGGTTAAGGGAGAAATTGGGAAGGAAAGTCCTTCATGGTAACCTCAGCCAGTGCAGGAATTGAACCCAATCTGTTGGCCTCACTCTACATTGCAAACAATCATCTGGCCATCTGAGCTTTGGTAATCCAGATGTGTTCTAACCATAAGATTTAAAGTAGTGTGGAGGAAATTACATGTCTATTAAAAACAATCTCCCCATAGCCATTTGAATAATGACATCTATCCTGTCCAAGGTGATCATTCTTGATTAATGGGTAAGCAGAGCCTCTGCAGTAAGTTCAATTGTGAAGTTATCCTATGAGCCAGATTCTTGATCTAGAAAAAGTTAACATTTGTTTTGAAACTTGCATTTGTGTTTTTTAACTTTTTTTCTTAAAAATGTTTCTCCAGTAAACATCTTACATGATTATTCAAACTAGTTCGCTTTACCATCCTCAGGATTAATTGGAATTGAAGACATGTCAAACCCAGATTTTGGAGATGCAGTTGTAGCACATCCTGGTGATATTCCAGTCTTCTGGGCTTGTGGAATCACTGCATCAGAAGCCATTTGCAACTGCAGTAAGATACAGAGATAAGAAGCTTTAGTAGTTGTGGGTTACAGTTCAAGAATTTTTTGTCTGAATAATTTTGCCGCCAGTAATTTTTTAAAAAAGGATCATGCGTTTATATAATGCCTTTTTATATGCTCAGAGTTCTTTACTATTGATGACGTTTTTTTTGAAGTGCAATCACTGTTGTGAAACTCAACAGCCAATTCATGTATAATGCAAACAACAAGGAATAAGTATTCTGTTTTTGGCATTGGAGGTAACAGGGTAAGTGTTGGCCAGGACACTGATGCCTTGATTCTTTTCACATTATGGCCATGGGTTCCGTTAAAGCCACTTAAGAATCAAGCAGAGCCTCTATTCAATGTCTCATTTGAGAGACAGTGTGCCTAATAGTGCAGCACCTTCAGTACACACTGGCAATATTGACCTAGATTTTGTACTGAAATTTCTGGGTTGGGCCCTGAATCCCCAATATTTTAACTCAGTGGTGAGAGTACTACCAACTAAGCCACATTGTTCAGTGAAAATTGTAGAGTCCAGAAAATAAAACAGTGAAATCCTCTGTATATGCTGGCCAAATTGCAAAATGGTTTAGATACACACAACTATTAAGAGGAGGGATTTCTTGTTGAAAAGCATAATTATAGCATAATCTTCACATTTCACATTCTGTGAGAATGCAGAGGTGTAAGTTGCATTAAATGACATGAAAATGTTTTGTTGTTTTGTGTTGAGAATTATAGAAAAGTTGGGTGTTAACAGTAAGGGATTTGGAGCAATGGGCACACTGTAGGCAGGAGCAAGGGAGCTATTGAACAGGTTGAACGGAGGGCGGCTCCCTTCAGGCTGGTGGAAGGTAACGAGGCTGCAAGTTGAGGATCATCAGAGGAAGAAGACAATTTACTCCAAGGGCACAGAGTTTGTGGAAGGGTTTGACATGGGAAACATGATTTAGACAAGTAGGAAAGCCAGGAAGTACTCAGATCTTTAAAATGATAAATAACACAGTGTACTTTTAGAGTCAGAGAAACCTAGAGTACAGAAAATGGTCCTTTAGGCTATCAAGTCTATCTCCAGCTATCAAGGCTATCTCCAGCCTATCCAGTCTGCCTTCATAATGAAAACTTTAAAGCCCAAGCAACATCTTGGTAAATCTCCTCTGCACTCTTTCCAGTGCTATCACAACCCTCCCATTATTGTGGATACCAGAATTGCACACAATGCTCTGGTTGTGGTCTAATTAACTTTTTATACAGTTTCAGCATATCTTCCCTGTTCTTAAATTCTTTAGAACGTAGAAGAGTATATCACAGAAACAAGACCCACAATATCTGCCTAAATGACATTCTAAACTAATCCTTTCTGCCTGCAAATGGGCCATATGCCTCTGCTCCCTGCCTGTTCATGTGTCTGTCTGAATGCCTTTTAAAACTTTGCTATCATATCTGCTTCTACCTCCTCTCCTGGTGGTACGTTCCAGGCACCTACCTCCCTCTGTTTAAAAAAACTTTCTCGCACATCTTTAAACTTTCCCCCTCTCACCTTAAACCTGTGGCCTCTAGTATTTGATTCTTCCACCCTGGGAAAAAGACTCCGACTATCTACCCTATCTATGCCTCTCATAATGTATATATACTTAATTATCAGATCGTCCCCTCAGCTTCCAATGCTTTAGGGAAAGCAATCCAAGTTTGCTCCTTATTGTTAATACACTCCAATTGAGGCAACATTCTGGTAAACCTCTTTTGCATTGTTTCCAAAGCTTCCACAACCTTCCTATAGTGTGGCAACCAGAACTCCAATTGTGGCTTAACTAAAGTTTTATACAACTGCAGTATGATTTGCCAATTTCTATACTCAATACCTCAACCAATGAAAGCAAGCGTATTGTACACCTTCTTTATCACCTCATCTACTAGTGTTGCTGCTTTCAGGGAGCTATGGACTCGCACCCCAAGATCCCTCTGTATATCAATGCTCTGCAGGGTCCTACCATTTACTGTATACTTTCCTTTTGCTTTTGATGTTCCAAATTGCATCACCTTGCATTTGTCTGGATTAAATTCCATCTGCCATTTCTCCACCCAACCTTCCGATTAATCTGTATCCTGCTGTATCCTTTGATAACCTTCCTCTCTATTGACAATTTTCATGTCAGCTGCAAACTTACTAATCAGACCACTTACATTTTTATCTAAATAATTTATATATATATATTCCAAAAAACAAGAGGTCCCAACACTGATCCTTGCAGAACACCACTGGTCACAGACCTCCAATCGCAAAAATACCCTTCCACAACTACCTCCTGTCTTCTATGATCAAGCCAGTTTTGTATCCAGTTTGGATCCCATGTGACTTAATTTTTTAGACCAGCCTACCATGATGGATCGTGTCAAATGCTTTAGTAAAGTCCACGTAGACAACATCCACTGCCCTACCCTCATCAATCACCTTCATAATTTCATCCAAAAACTCAATTTTGTGAGACAAGACTTTCCCATACAAAGGCATGCTAACTATTCCTAATAAGTCAATTTTTTTTCTAAATGCGAGTCAATCCTGTCCCTAAGAATCTTCTCCAGTAATGTCTTTGCCACTGATGTAAGGCTCGCCAGCCTGTAATTTCTTGGATTATCCCTGTTTCCCTTTTTAAACAAAGGAACAACATTGGCAGTTCACCAGTCTTCTCTGACTTTGCTTGTAGATAAAGAGGATACAATGATCTCAGTTAAGGCCACAACAATCTTAGAATCCGTACAGTGTGAAAGCAGGTCATTTGGCCCATCGAGTTCAAACAAATCCTCTGAAGACATCCAACCCAGACCCACCCCCAACCCTATAATTCTGCATTTCCCATGGATAATTCACCTAGTCTCCACATCCCGAGACACTATGGGCAACTTAGCATAGCCAATCAGCTTAACCTGCAAATCTTTGGACTGTTAGAGGAAACCAGAGCACACAGTGGAAACCCGCACAGACACAGAGAACAGATTATCATCTGAGGCTAGAATTGAACCCGGGTCCCTATTGCTGTGAGGCAACAGTGCCACCAAGCCATCATGCTGCCCTTCTCCCTTTCCTCCCTCAATATCCTGGGATAGATGCCATCAGATCCTGGGGCATTCCCTTTAATGTTTTTCAAGACACCCAACACGACCTCCTCCTTAATATCAACATGTCCTAAAATATCAACAGACCCCTCTATGCCTCTGCTAATAAAGACAAGTATCCCATATACCTTCTTAACCACTTCATCTATCTGTCCTTCCGGGACCAGTGGACATGTACACCAAGGCCCCTATGAACCTTGGTGCTTCCGAGGGTCCTACCATTCATCATGTATTCCTTGCCTTGTCTGTCTTGCCAAAGTGCATCACCTCACATTTATCTGAATTGAATTCCATTTGCCGTTGATCAGCCCATTTGACCAGCCTGTTTATATCCTTTTGTAATCTAAGGATATCCTCAATATTGACCACAACAGCAATTCTCATATCATCCGTGAACTTACTGATCAAACCTTCTGCTTCCACTCAACTAGTTCAGGATCCAATTAGCCAAATTTCCTTGGATCCCATGGGCTCTTAGCTTTGCTATCAGCTTCCAGTGCAGGATCTTCCTTTCGGAAGAGTGAGGTTGGTTGAGGACAGCAGGAAAATCTGGGTATTTATTTGGGAATTTGAAGAAATGCTTTACACAGAAAGTATGAAACAGCCATGATTAATATAAGATAACAAGATGTAGAGCTGGATGAACACAGGAGGCCAAGCAGCATCAGAGGAGCAGGAAAGCTGATATTTCAGGTCTGGACCCTTCTTCAGAAATGGGGGAGGGGAAAGGGATTCTGAAATAAATAGAGAAGCAGGGGAGGCGGATGGAAGATGAATAAAGGAGCAGATAGGTGGAGAGGAGACAGACAGGTCAAAGAGGTGGGGATGGAGTCAGTAAAGTTGAGTGTAGGTGGGGAGTTAGGGTGGGGATAGGTCAGTCCAGGGAGGACGGACAGGTCAAGGAGGTGGGATGAAGCTGGTTCTGCTATCCAATTGGCTCCTGATCTCATTAGCTGAATTCCAGAAGTGAGGTGGTATTTTGACTAAGTGTGGCATCAAGGAGCTGTAGAAAATTGGAGTCAATGGAATTGAGGGGAAAGCTCTCCATCTGGTTGGAATCATACTCAACACAAAGGTTGTGGTCTTTGGAGATGATAAGTGGCAAGTAACATTTGCGCAACACATAGCTAGTTCCACCAAGAGAGAACTAACCACTATCTCTTGATATTCAATGGCATTATCATAACTAAAACTCCCACAATAAATATCAATTACTGTGAACCAGAAGCTGAATTAGACAAACTATATAAGTACTATATGCTTGGGTGGCACAGTGGTTCAGTGGTTAGCACTGTTTCCTCACAGCGCCAGGGAACTGGGTTTGATTCCAGCTCAGGTGACTGTCTTTGTGGAGTTTGCATATTCTCCCGTGTCTTTCTCTCTCAGATACCACTAAAAACTTACTTCTTTGATAAAACTTTTGGTTATCTTTCCTGATTTTTCACTTGCATGACTCAGTGTTGAAAAACATCAAAATGTTTTTATAGATTTCCCCACTCATAGTCTTTTGTCAGTGCTATTGGATCTTTCACAACATTGAACATGTTATATAAGTGTAAGTCTCTTTTCTCAACAAATATCTAGAGAATGATGGTGGGGTGTTGGGGGCTGGAGTGAATTATGCTGTTAAATTTTAAAGTCTATTAGTGCAGGGCTTGATAAATGATATGCCTATATGCAAGAAATCCTAATTCTTAAATAGCCCTCACCAATGAGCCTGTAACCTACATGTATATTGTGAACGTTAATATAAAGTTGATTCCATCCTTCTCTTTAAAATCATAGAAATAGCATTGTAATTGATCAATTTTTTTCTTACTTGCAGAATCTGCTCTGGCTTTCACCCATGCTCCTGGCTGCATGTTCATTACTGACCTGCAGAGTGAGCAGGAGGTGGCCAGCGACTATGCAGCTGATGCAGAAACCCCACGTGTTTTCTGCATTTCTCAGAATCCACTCCACTACAGTATTGTCTCAGTTACTGCTGTTGAAAAATTCAAGGCCCTGGACAGTCTGATTCAGCAAGATCCAGGTAGGAAGAGAATCTAAGCACAGCTTGATTATGGTGGGTTTGGATTTCAAATATGCATGTATACTAAGGAAGCATAGTTACCCTACTGATAGCCCTGAAGCTGAGAGTTTCTCCACCAGACTCCCGGCTTTATTAATATCTCTACTATCTATATATCTACTCATGGGTTTTCCAAGTAGGGAGAGGAACAGTATTATTTATTGATTCCACAATTTCCAACATGACTGTTAATACAAGGGAAGCGATGGCCTAGAGGTATTATCGGTGGACTGTCAATCCAGAGACCCAGATAACATTCTGGGGACCCGTGTTTGAATCCAGCCATGGCAGATGGTGGAATTTGAATTCAATAAAATATCTGGAATTAAGAGTCTAATGATGACCGTGAATCCATTGTCGATTGTTCACTAATGTCCTTTAGGGAAGGAAATTGCCATCCTCACCTGGTCTGGCCTACATGTGACTCCAGACCCACAGCAATGTGGTTGACTCTGGGCAATTAGGGATGGGCAATAAATGCTTGATCACAAGAATCTACTGATATCTGTTGTAGTTGCCTATGGCTGAATATGACAAAATGGCTATTTGAGTCTTTTTTAACTGAAGCAGACAATCAAAGGAAATTTTAGCATTTCGTACAGCTCAACTCATGGCTTTCACAGACTGATAACAAAATGCCTCTGAGTCTTAATAAGGTGGGACTAGAATGCAACCGCTAAGACTCTGACAAGGCTGCTCAGATGAAAATCATTTGATTTGAGTTTTCCAAAATTTATATGAAATAGAAAGGAAAGCTTGACCTACCTAAGATATACCTTCTTAAATAATTATAATTACATGTTAGAGTAGACACACATTTGTACAATAATAGAAGTTTGAATTCATTAGATATTGGAATTAAATTTCTGAAGGCAGTAAGCCTTGGATGCAGAGGCCACCCATGAAGAAACCTTTCTCTCCATCAGCAAGAAGATTAGAACAACAAAAAGGTATTCACAAGATAACCTTGTAAGAGTACAGACAGACAAATAATGTAACAAGGGAGGGACAGAAACAATTTTGAAATAGAGTCAGTGTGACCTCGAAAGAATAAACTACTGCCCCTTCACAAGTTGGATAAAGAGGGAAGCTGCTCCTGAAATTGTTAGCTTTGTCACAGAACCATAGTATTAGTTTTAACTATGTATAATTTTATAAGGAACTTTATATTAAAGCTGTTGTTTCAAAAATTATAACAATTGGTAGCAATTAACATCCTTTTTAATCTTCTGTACTAAGATCAGTAAGGGATATGAATTGCATGACTGAATTTGAAGAGTCATTAGTAATAAGCAAGTATACGATGCAACTGGCAAATATCTAGGAAGGGACGTAACAATCGGTATTGGAGTGTGGGCAATAATCGTTAGAGCCCAAGGACAACTGATGGAGGTTTGGCAAACATCATGAGATGATGGGAGGACCTAAGGTGGATCATGAAGTTGTCCATCATCAATCGTGTATTCACAGGATTGGATGTGTAGGTTAGAGAAGATGTAGCAAGCACTGATGTCAATGTTGCATGTAACCATTGTAACACAGTATGTATAAATATCCGAGATAGTAGGAACTGCAGATGCTGGAGAATCTGAGATAACAAGGTGTAGAGCTGGATGAACACAGCAGGCCAAGCAGCATCATAGGAGCAGGAAGGCTGACGTCTTGGGCCTAGACCCTTCATCGAAGAGATTACGAGAGAGTTGCAGTGGGAGAGAGATTCCCTGAGGTTTGTCCGGAGGGAGGAGGGTAACTTCTTCAGGCTAGGCATCCTTAGAAGAGGCTTCGCAGTGGGGTTAAAATTGTATCAGAGATAGTAGGAGCTGCAGATGCTGGAGAATCTGAGATAACAAGGTGTAGAGCTGGATGAACACAGCAGGCCATCTGCAATCCGACCCCACCACCAAAGACATCTTTCCCTCCCCA